AGTCTCCTTGCAGTTTTGACTCATCTCTGCCTGGCCGCTGGCTGCCTGCAGAACACCATCTGTGCACATTGAGCCACTGCCCAAGGAACTTTCTGGAACCCCAGCTGCTATGTGAGGACACAGGGTACAGGGAGGTTGTGAAGCTTAAGGTCTCTGAAACCCTACCAGGTATATCTGTCTCTGCTGTTTCTAACTATGAGTGTTCAGGCCTTGGTTACTATGTCTACAAAATGGGAACAACAAATCATAGCTAAAATCATAGCTAAAAAGGGATTAGATGATACCTATGAATATGTCCATCCATGTGTATTTTCACTCATCATACTACCCCCAACGCAAGGGCCAGGCACAGTAGGTGCTCTGTATGCGTCAGTGGAATGAATGAATGAATACGAACCTTGAAACAGAGCAAAGGTCCTGAGACATAAGGGTTGTAGTGTGAGAAGGGGTAGGGACATGAAAGTCCAACTGAGTTCCTTCTGCATTATTTTGTTACCTAAAGGAGGAAAGATAATGTGGAATCCCATAGAGAAGAGAGGGGTATGGAGGACAGGTGAGAAATAGCTGTATTATTCCCAAGATCTCTTCCATTTTCTTGGGCAGACTACTGTCTGGAAAGAATGGAGCAGAAACAAGAGAGGGTCCCCATATTGACTCAGTCTGCCCCATCCAACAAAGGGTGATGATAATAGAAGTATTCTTGCTGAAATATCCCCATGGCCAAACTGGAGTCCACTACCTTATCTCTGCATTTCATGTTATTCATGTCTTAGAACAATCCCCAAGAAGACAAGTTATCCCTGGTCGCCACAAAAGGAAATGGATTTAGCCAGGATAAATGGACAGGAATGAAACAGCTAGAAAAGAACAGGTTCTGGATCTGCTGCCAGTCTCAGGTTTGTCCTTCTGGACAGCCAAATTCAGCCTAGAGAGCTGGGAGGGCTAGGAAGTAGGACAGGGGGAAAGGGGGTGTCTCAAGGTCGTATCCAAATGTTGCATCCTGGGGGCCCTGGCCACATCCCAGCTTGTGATGAGTGTCTCTGACCTGTTGAGGCAGCCACCGGAGTTCCTGGGATCTGAGTAGCCCTGTGTGGACGCAGTTCCCCCAGCAATAAAGACACAACTGCTGAAGTCAAGAGCTCAGATTACCAGAGGGGAAAGCCAGCCAGTTCCCCAGTGAGGGCCCTTGCTGGGAAGGGCCACAGCCATCCCCAAACTCACGCTCTGCCCGACACAGTGCTAGACATTGAGGGCTCTCTCCAGAACACAGTGTGTGTATTGGGTAGTTGCTATGCTGACTCTTGAGACTTCTGTCCTGACAGGAGCTGGGCCCACATCTCCACTTTCCCACTAGCCCCCATCCAGGATGCCAAGGCCATCATGGGCTACCCTGTATGAACCTCCTAACCTTACCTAGTTAGGCCCTTTTTAATTCTAGGCCTTCTTGGGTGTTGCCAAGGACACTGATTCAGCAGATAGAATCTGGCCCAGGTTTCCATGACAACCCGCAACAACCCACTCGTGTCCATCTGTGATGTCACCTGAGCACCAAATGGATATCCTCCCACCCCTACCACATTCATCACAGTCAAACATCAGAGTCTGACAGCAAGTCACTACTGCAGAATACTCCACAGCCTGTCCATTCCCAATCCTCACACAACCCAAAGATGAATAACAGATGAATAGGAGGTCATGATGCCCGATTTATAGCTCAGCATGGTGAAGCTCGGAGTTGGGCAAAACTCCATAGGCTGAAGGCAGAGCCAAGACTAGACACCAAGGCTCCCTATTACTTCTCCTTCCCTTTGTGCTCCCCTAGGCCCCACATTAGGTCTAAGAGAGAGTGAATTCTGGACAAGGTATGGCACCAGTGGTGGCTAAGACCACCACCCTGCATTCATGTCCCTCCTGGAGGGGGTATGAGCTGGACAGCAGGCTGAACTCAGGGCTAAGAAGCAAGGAAAGTTTGCAGACTAAAGTGACTGGCCCCTGCTGCCACCCACACTGGCTGCCCGGATTCCCCAGTTCTGGGCAACCTTCAGCCCAGGAACAGAATGACCAGGGCCAGACCATGGGCAGATATTTTTAGTAGAATTGCGGGCAGCTGCTTTGAGGATGCCAGGAGGTGGGGGTGGAGACTGAGTTAATCTTTTCCCTTCTCTGGGCCTGTATTTCCTCCCCAGAATTCAAGGTCTCTTCCTCAGCAGCCTCTGATGGCCTCCGGGGATTCACAGGTGACACCAACCTTCACCTGAAAAGCAGTCTCATGAGGGAGAATCTTCAACTTCGCAGGACTGAGCGGGGAGTGAGAAAGACTTGGTGTTGAGGCCACATATGTCAATTTAGGACCCCTAAATCCTAGTCCAGATCTTCGCCTGTGGGGAGTGGATGTCCTGGGCCTGCAGGGTGACTCTCTGGTCAGTCCACTAGTTTACTTGCTTGGGCAAAAGGCCAGGAGTGTGGGAGAGAATTTGCTCTTAAAGGGCCAGATCTAATTCCTCAGGGGAGAGTTGCATTTGACTGGTCCAGTTTATCCACTGCCTGCCTCCTCTTCAAGGCC